AGAAACGTCTTCAAGTAACTTAAAGAAGTCCAGACGCTTTTCTTTGCAAGCTCCTTTGACTACAATGACCTGGATGAATGAGAACCTTCACAGACACTCTATTAGATCTTCCAATAAAACTACACTTGTAAACAATGACCAGTGGACACAACAGGAAACGTGTTTTCAGTAGAGTAAATGTTTTAGTGAGATTTAAGGTGCTCATTGGGTATATTTTGTTACCCCTTCACAAAGTGAGGGTAGCTGTTTGTCTCAAGTCCTTAAAGTAAGGCCTCAGTAATACAGGCCAAGGGACCTGCCCTGGAAAACCTTGTTTGACAGTGAAAAATATGTATTTTCCAATGATTTGGCAAGTAGTGCTGTAGTTTGCTAACTGTTCCTGCGTGAAATCATTCACAAAGATGGTGCTGCCAACAAAAGTTGTGCCAACACATTTCAAAAGGCACATATTTCACACTGAACAGAAACAGCTTCTGTTTGTTTCCCAACAAATTCATACAATCTATGTGTGATTACAGCAACCTGCAAGTGGCTAAAGCATTTGCAACAAAGTTTTTGGCGCATCACTGTAGACCTATTTGAAACCAAACCAGTGACTGCCAGCAACTACTCACCAACTGGTTGAGGAATAATGGTATGTCCTGTGACTGAAGCCTCAGAAGGTTAAACATGAACGGTCTCTTCTCACCTATAAGTATGAAAGCAGGTCGCAAAGTGACAAACTTTTCATTCAAGGTCATAAAGTCATTTTTTTATTGATTATTTTTTTGGTTTTTTGAGGATTTTTGTTTTTGCTTTTACAGTGTATCACTGCTAGTTGACCATTCTGAAGAACTGAAAGATAAACATATTAAAACATGAAAACATTTTAATATCCTGATGGCATGTGTAAACCCCACAACTCCAATTTGTACTCCTGACTTAAACTGAGAAGCCGCTGAAATGTGCTGAGTATTTTTCATGAACTTCTTTCCTACCAAACGTGCTTCAAGCTCGAAGACAAATTTATGCAAATTGGGAGGCAGACGAGCGGGGCTTCAGCCATTTCTGACAAAGCAGACATTTTTTGGAGATAAGGGGTTTTCATGAGTCCAGATCAGTGGAAATCCATCAGATTTCTTCAGAGGCTTTTCTCTGCTCAGCCTTCCTTCTGTTCTCCAGAATATTCGGTGGTCAGCACAGTTCAATGGAAGCAGCCGCAGACAGACGGACGAGCGACTCTGCTGAAAAATGTGACCTTTTACATCACTTTTAATCGCACATCCAACTGCCTTTGGGCGCCACTTTTACATGTGCATTTTTAGTCTCTGCTCGTGGCTGTACAGTGTCACAGAGTTTTGAAAAAGACACTTTGTCTGCTAAAAAAGAAAGAAGAAGCCGTCAAACAGACGTAATCAGGCCCGGAAGATAAGCTCCAGATTAAAGCAGGTTTGCGTTCCCTTCACACAGGTCAGATGTAAAATGTCAGATTCGTATAAATGCAGATATATTTGCCTGTTTCTTCCTCTCTCGCTCTTTGAGTCTCTCTCTCTCAGTTTATGGCTGCTGACCAACTTTGATTAAATTGAAGCAAATGACCACAGCTTTGCCCCCTCCCATCCTCCCTCCTCCCCTTTCCTTCCCACACACAAATGCTGATGTTTTTGTCTCCAATCTGTCATGTACCTCCTGCTTCTTCTGAACTCGCTGAGTAACAGACCGTGACTAACAAATGGTGGAAAAACGTTCATCAATCTGTTGAGAAAAGACACTTTTAAT